TACTTGTGCTCCCCTCCACACGCAGGCCAAAGAACTGAGAGGCAGGAAGCATTTCACACAGTAAAAGCCGCCCCCCCGACTTGCCTTCTCATTCTCTTAATAACTCCTCACATGCACACCCGTAACCGAGCAACAGAGGATGTGGCACAGGGTGAGGTGTGAGGAAGAGTAAGTTACTTCATTTATTTATTTGTTTGTTTATTAAAAGGGATCCTGGTGCCAGCAGGTGGAGCAGGAAGGAACCGGTTGAGATGCTATCTGATGCCCAGTGTTCCTTAAAGGACTCTTTGGCAGAGCAGGCTGTGGAAAACACATAATGGAGCACATTCTCTCCTTGATGCTCTGTGTAGTGACTGATACGTTGGTGCGCTAATTCCTGGCCCCCTTCTAAACAGAAGCCCTTCAGTTCAAAGTGTTTGAGGGAACTCTATAGCCATCTCATCTGCCACATCGATGCCAACGAGTATTATAATTGCCCCGCTCCCTGCAAGGGAAAAATAGTTCTGCAGATTTCACTCTACCTTTTCTTTAGGCTTCAATACAATTTCCCCTTTTATGTATTGTTGGTGACTATATTAAAGCAGAAAACAACCATTCAGTCAACAATAAGGTGGCCCTCTATTTAAGAAATGTCTAAGAATGCATGCTATCTGCATTTTTGGGTGCTCTGCTTCTTTCTTTCTTTTCTGTTTCCTTTATCAAACACCCACAACAGACACCCACCCACGCACCCCTGAAACTTGTGATACATTCTGTCATAACATTTTGAATCTCAGTGTTATGGGCCAGAGAATTCTTTAGCATATGCTTCCATTTTTACAACATATATCTTAGCCTGCTGTATTTTGCAGGTATTTTTGCTTTAGGATATGGTTATCTTCTGCCTATTCAAGTACATCTGTTAGTAATATAGCATCTGAGCATTACAGATTAATTAAATGTATTCACGAAAGTTCATGTCTGTTTAGTTTAGCTAATTTAAATGGCTTCATTCCAAAAATGGAGCTCTTTTCTGGTGTGTTTTTTTAGCTTTGTCAACAACGGCCTCATGGGTGTTTATTCATCAAAATGTCCAAGCGTACCAGACAAATTTGCTGAATGAAATGATTGAACAGCCTGTGCCAAAGTACAAATTCTGATTTGATGCTTTCTATCTCATGGCCAAGTCCTGTGACGTCATTGTGCCTCAAATCACTAGGACACGAAGCAAGGCACGTGCTGAGGCAAAACACTGCAGAGAGAAATTTCAGAACCCGCAGATTAGTCAGAGGCCAAAAATAGGAGCATAGCTTGCAAATCTGTTTTGTTATAGCTCTACTGAGCCTGACCAGATAATATTTTGCTGAAAAGCAGGATTGATTCACACAGGCATTCTTGGACATCAGGTCACCCAATGCCTCTTCACTGGTACTGTGAATTGTCTCAGTCGTATTTTAGGTGATGTGATGTTGTCATCATCAAGGGTTAGAGATGCATTTGTGAATTCAGTCTGTGGATAGAATAAAAGTATCATAGAAGTACAGATTTATAATGGACTTCAAAGGCCCCATCTCTAAAGGTAAATCCTTAACAAAAGTTTACCTGACATAACATTTTGTGCACTTATCCATTAAAATACGAAACAAGTTGCCTTGCTGCAGAAGTTGAATAATCGATTTTGGCTTGATTTTAGGTTTGCAAAACTGCTAATTCTCAGCAGTGCAGTTCTCTTCTTAGTTCTTATTCAGTGGCAGGATATTGGGTTGAAGCTGGCAGATCTGGGTTTTTCAGCCTTGAACTCCCTGCGTGGGTGGTAGATTATTATTCTCAGTTTCCTATAAGTAACATTAATTTCCTATTTTCTGCATATATATTTTTACATCCATGCAAGCAGCATCAGTGTACATAAGCCCAGCCCTCAAAGGTTCTACCCTACAGAACTCTCAGTTTGACAACAGGGAGATAACAGAAGGAGGGAAGGTTTGGGAAAGGCAATGCAATGTCGTGATTAGAGATCTAATGAACTTGATCCAGCCACTCAGACTAATCTGTTGTTTTGGCTATAAAATGGGGTAGTGGGGAGAGTTCCTTGGAGCAAATGCCTTACGTAAATGTGAAGAAATCCACTTATAGGTATACTTAGACTTTCTGTGGTTGGGAATGAAGACGCCAACCATAGGAATGTCAGAAGGGCACAGGCAATGAAGACTGCACAACTCACTGTATATAGGAGTCACAGAACAGCCATAACAAACAGTTTATTTTAAAAGCTTCCTAAATAATATTGGCAGGTATTTTTTTAAAAAAACCAACCCCCTCCTACTGAATATCCATATAAGTGTTCTGAACAGGTGCATGTCGCAAAAGGCTAGGTTTTAAAGTTAATAAATATGAATTCCCAAGTTCGGTTTAAATTTATAGCCATTGAAAAAGAAGTCTTTTCTGAGGCAGCACCTTATTACTGCCCCAAGTGCTTAGATAAGCTGCTTCTTTGCTTATGCTCCACCAGCAGATGAAGACTTTTCTCTGAGTCTCTGGATTATTTTTGCTGCTTCTAGTATGATTATGTGTTTATTATAATTTTAAATTGGATTTTAATCATTTTAAAATTAAAAGTATATGACTTCCCCATAAGAATTCTGAGAACTGTTGTTTTTGCTGGGAATTGTAGCTCTGTGAGTGATAAACTACAGTTCCTACTATTTGGGGGAAGTCACGTACTTTGAATGTATGGTGTGTAAGCAGCCTTAGCTCTGTTTAGAGATGTGCTTGGGTTTCCCTCTTCACATCCTCAGGTGATCAAAATAATAGGAATTCTGCTTTTTCTATAGCAGCATCTTCATAAAGACCAAATGTCTGTAATATGCCATCAGAACTCATATTTCTTTGTGAGTTTTTGCATCCTAGACCCAGATACTGGTAATAATCCTCAATGAACTCAGTAGGGCTGACTTCTGAGTAGACATGTTTAGAATTGTGCTGTAATCCCCTGAAAGATGTAAGGGGTGGGTAGGTCGCAAGAAACTCTGATTTCTTCTATGTTAGCTCCTCTACTCAGTAGACTATATTCCTTCCCAGATCACCCCAACATTGCAGCAGCAAGAGAATGGAAAGCCTAGGTGTGTACTTCTTGACACTGTGGTGCAGGAGACACGCATAAGAGCCGTAAAATTAAATTGTCAGTAAATTAAAAACAGACTGCATATGCATTGAGCTAATGCCAGAGCCTGAAGATCTGTAAGCCAGATCCCATAGGAAACTAAATATGTCTCGGTATAATTAGCGATTACTGCTTTGTGAATCTATAATAGATTATGTGGCCATACATGATTTATGCAGCACGGAGAAGAGCTTTGTATGCAGCTGTGATGTGACGTCGGTGTCTCTTTATGTGCCTCCATTGCGAGTGCAGGGGCTTAATGAGGAGGTTGTTCATATCCTGGCTATGCTTGTGATTCTGCCGTTTTAGGTGTACTGTATACATAGCCACATGCTTATTAATATGCCATTCAAACAAAACACAAAGCCCTTCAAGCTGGAGGAAGAAGGTCTCCTAGACAAGCAAACCCAAGCGGCCTAGCATTACAAACTCAAATGAAGAAAGGCAGCTAGTGAATGAACCACGGAGAAGCTGCTGTTCACAGTTTAGTGGAAGAAGGAAAAAGGCAGAGGAAGGGGAGGTGCAAAGGTTGGAACAACCAAAAATTGCTAGTTTCTGGAACGTACATCAGTATATACAAACTCTTGGTTGATAGGGAAACGGTGCTGTCAAGAATTACTTTTTTTATGATGTATCTGCAGTAGAAGATTGATCAGGCTCTGTTATTTAAATATCATGTTCGTATCCCACAACACAATTCAAAGTGTTGGTGCTTAACTTTAAAGCTCTAAACGGCCTCGGCTCAGTATACCTGAAGGAGTGTCTCCACCCCCATCATCCAGCTCCAAGGGCCTTCTGGCGGCTCCCTCACTGCGCGATGTGAGGTTGCAGGGAACCAGGCAGAGGGCCTTTTCGGTAGTGGTGCCCACCCTGTTGAACGCCCTCCCATCAGATGTCAAGGAAATAAACAACTACCTGACTTTTAGAAGACATCTGAAGGCAGCCCTGTTTAGGGAAGCTTTTAATGTTTGATATATTTATCATCTTTTTAATATTCTGTTGGTAGCCACCCAGAGTGGCTCGGGAAACCCAGCCAGATGAGCAGGGTATAAATAATACATTACTACTACTACTACTACTACTACTACCACTACTACATAATTATTATTTCTTTTTCAACAGAAAAACTCAAGGCAACAAAATATGAATAGGTCAAGGCAAGTCAACAGAAGGGGCCTCACTGTACCGCCTGCCCTCTTTCATCTAACATGGCTGGCCACTGGTGGAATGCCAGGTTGGCCAATAAACATGGGTGCAGATTCCTAGGGGCTGAGGCAGTACCCCCCATGTATTTTTTTAAAGTATATTTTTGGCGTCTGGACGTTGTGCAACGTCACACCAGCTGGAGAAGTCAGTGCTTCTCCTGTTGAAGGAGTCGGGGGGGGGGGGCAAAGTAACAGTTGGGCTTACCTACACACAAACACACACTGCTATGGTTCCTCAGTGTGATTTGCTGACAGCTCAGCACTTGCTGTTCCACCTCTTCACCTATTGGTACGCTGTATTGCTTACTTAAATGTTTAAGTCTGTTAAATGAACTGTTAATGGTTGATTATTGATTTTTTAGTTTTGTGCTGCCGTGATATTTATATGTCTTATTTTGTATTACTGTGTTTGGACTTTGATTTTTTTATGTGAACCACTTTGAGCACAGATTTACTTGGGGGAAATGTCATGCGCGTGCACAGGCACGCTGCTGTCACATTACAGTACATGCTTCCACTGCCTGCCTGAGTGGGCTGAAGATGAAAATGAGTCTTACACACAAATATTTTGACATGGCAGAGCATAATGAAAAATAACCTACAAACTCCCTTGCTGAATTAGACAGTGGTCCACATAGTCCAGCATCAACCAGGTGACAGAAGGGACATAGCTCAATGGTAGAGCATCTGTCTAGCATACAGAAGGTCTCTGGTTTAATCCCTGGCTTCTGCAGGTAGGGCTGGGAGAGACGCCTGCCTGAAACTCTGAAGATCTTCTGCCAGTTGGTATAGACAATGTTGAGCTATAGGGACCAATGGTCTGATCCAGTATAAAATGGCTTCCTATGCTCAAATGCCCCTGTAAGATCAAAAACAAAGCATGACTGTGAAGGTTACCAGCCCCTGTTCTTTCTCTTCTGGCATTAGGGATTTAGAAGTTTACTGCCTCTATTTATGAAAGTTCATTTTTGTTATCATGGCTAACAACTCTTGGCAGATATGGCAACCCTAATTGTTCACTGCGACCACTAGCATGTGAACCAGTCACACTTGTCACTCACTAAGCCCAGTGCACATGGCAAACTGTTTCAACACAACTGCAAAAAGGCTCTTTCCAACATCAAACAGCTTGCAGTGGAGTAATGGAAAGCACTAGATATGCAGGGTAGCCACTTCACCAAAAGAGAAATGTACTGAGAAAAATGTTCATAAAAATAGCATACAAAATTAAGAAAAATCCTTGCAAAAAGGCATAATTGCATAAAATATACATATCAAGAGAAATGTGCCAAAAATGCTGACTTAAAAAAAAAATTCCAAGTATTGCAGAAGTGTAGCAAATTGAACTTATGATTTGCAAAATATGAAACGGAGAAAAACTGAAATCGCCAGATTTGCTCAGCCCTACCCCCAGGAGTCATTAATGTCTGAAATTTGCTAGACTGTGAAACAGGCCTAAAAGAACTAGCAGCAGCGAAATGCATTAGCCACTTGGTGACTTTGCATTTACCATCTTCAGAGTTCTGATCTGTCGTGAACTTGATCAAATAGATTTTAAAAGCTTGTGTAAATTGTGAGGTGAAAGCATGAGACTCGCCGACAGAGGAGGAATATGACCGTACTGACCGCAGCCTCGAAAACTAGTCGGAATGATAAGTAGGGCAAAACTCTGTTGCTCGAAAGTGGGTCTTGCTGCCTTAGACTTGATGTTGTTATGCACGCTGGGTTGGTAAAGCAACCCTGGGAGTGACTCATGTGAGCAAGCCAGAAGCTTTAATTACAAATACCAAATGCTCAGCCTGCCTTTTGCATAGAGGGTGTTTGTTTTAATGTCAGCTGATTGCTGACAGTGCCAGCTTGCAGGGAGCCTGTCTTCCTCTGCCTCCCACTCTCACACAGTCACGCACCCTCCAGTGGATCAGTGGCGGAGTGCAGCATTTGTTCCCTGCCAGCTGATTTATTAGCCTTGCCTCAGAAAGAAAAGGACAAGAGGAGGAAGCGGGGGACGGGAATGGATTCTCTCTTGCCTGAAATGAGATTACCTGAGCTGAGGGCAAGCTTTCTGTAATAGCCAAAACAACAGCACCCTGTTCTAATTTTAGTTTTGTGCATCTGACCCAGCTGTACAGATCCAGGTTCTGCACTCCTATAGAATCATAAAATCTTAGAGTTGGAAGGGACCCAAGGGTCATCTAGTCCAACCCTCTCCAAAGCAGAAGCGCCCATGACAGATGGCCATCCAACTTCTGCTTAAAAACCTCCAAGGAAGGAGTCTATTACCTCCTGTGAGTCTCTATTCCACTGTCAAACAGCTCTTGCTGTCAGAAAGTTCTTCCTGATGTTTAGTCGGAATCTCCTTTCTTGCAACTTGAAGCCATTGGTTTGGGTCCTACCCTCCAGAACAGGAGAAAACAAACATGCTCCGTCCTCCATGTGACAGCCCTTAAGATATCTGAAGATGGCTATCATATCTCCTCTCAGTCTCCTCTTTTCCAGGCTAAACATACCCAGCTCCTTCAAGCTCTTATAAGGCTTAATTTCCAGACCCTTGATCATCTTGGTTGCCCTCCTCTGTACATCTTCCAGCTTGTTAACATCCTTCTTAAAATGTGGTGCCCAGAATTGGACACAGTATTCCAAGTGTGGTCTGACTAAGGCAGAATAGAGTGGTACTATTACTTCCCTTGATGTGGACACTATACATTGATGCAGCCTAGAATAGTATTAGCTTTTTTTGCTGCTGCATCACACTGTTGATTCTTGTTAAGCTTGTGGTCCACCAAGACCCCTAGATCCTTTTCACATGTACTGCTAGTAAGCCAGGTGTCCCCCATCCTATATTTGTGCATCTGGTTCTTCCTGCCTAAGTCCAGAACCTTACATTTGTCCCTATTGAAATTCATTTTGTTAGCTTGTGTCCAGTTCTCCAATCTATTAATGTCGTTTTGAATTCTGATTCTGTTTTCTGTGGCATTAGCTACCCCTTCCAGTTTGGTGTCATCTGCAAATTTGAGGAGCATCCCCTCAGTTCCTTCATCCAAGTCCTTGCAGAAGCTTATCCAAAACAGAGAAATTAAGCATGCTCCTTAAGCCTTTTCCAGGGCAAACATCATAAATGCAATACAAGCTTGTGCATTCTTTCTCATTCTCTCCAGATGCAATCCCCCCAAATTATTAATATGCAACATTGTATATATTGCAGCAGTGTAGTTCTTTTTGGTGCAGTACTACACATTGCTTACTGAGAAGGGTAAGGCGGCAGGAAGGTTGGTGCAGTGCAAACACGCTAGTGGAGCTAATCTGGTACTGTTGCTGGTATGTTTGCAAGTGCCAAGCGCCAAATTGTATATTAGCAATTGACATAGATCAGGATATATACAGGGGCGCTATAGGAAAAAAAGAAGTAGCAATGCTCAACTGTATGCGCTAATTTGTTAAAAGATATGTTCATTTAAAAATAGCTCATTGACTAGCATTAAAACTGGCTGGCCTCTTTTTTTCCTTTTCTTTTTTAAGGGCACGGGGTGGGACGTGGGACATTTCCTTGGTTGTGATTGTTTGTATCTAGCTGGACGCAAGGGTAGACTTTGGTCTTCAAATTTCAGTGGTGCTTTTTGTAAGGCCAAAATTCACCACCCAGGCCTCTCACCTTCCGTTATGTTTGTGCACGATATCATAGTTGTGATGCCCTGCGGGCACCCCTCTCAGCCCGGCACCCGGTGCAGTCACACTGCCCTAAATCCACCTCTGCTAGATGCAGCTGTTTTAATCAAGGATTAGGAAATGTTTTAGGTGTGGTACAGAGCACAGTTACACTACAAACACATATCAGTCAAGGTTCCCCCAAATACCCCTGGAAGCAAACTGGTGAGGGAGTGGCAGATTCTCTGTTAGTCATCTCCTTAACCGCCTCACTTAATTGCAGGGTTTTCTGGGAGAAGAGAACCACAATCCGACATGGAGATATGCTACCTAAGCCTAATGTGTAAAAATACCCTTATTGGTCTCATGCCTGTCTCACTTGATCTATTGTCCCTACGTTGTGATCTGGTTTAACCTCAATACTGGGTGTTCCCTTCGTCATTGTCCTTGGGCTAGATGAAATTGTCTGAAACAGAACTGGGAAAGTGTTTTACCCGATATGTATACATGAGTTTTAATTCAAAACACATAAATACAACAAGATTTTGGACAGCACAGCAAAGACAATATTGAGTAATCCTGATCAAGTTGAACATTGTGTGTTCTCTTTACTGATTCTCTCTGTTGTTTTGTCAGCTCTTACAGTGCTTGTTTTTTCCTCTTAAAGACTCATGTCCCAGAGTTATGTGATTTATATGAGCATCTCAGACACAGCCAACCCAATATGTTTTTGCTCCTGAGGCAGAAAATCCAAATGGCATCCCCATCCCCCATGGTGTGCACCTGGTCCTCCCCAAAATTAACGATGCACACAGAATATCCATATGTTGTCACTGCAGTGACAAAGTGTATTGTTAAAGTCATTTGCTTATCTTGCATTCCCTCTCCATCATCTTAACCCACAAAGATCAGCTTCATTTTCATTCCAAAACATTATGTTTTACAGAAGAAAATGTAAGGGCATCTTCTTAAGCATGCAGTGCAATCATAAGCATACTTACTTAAAAATAAGTCCCAGTGAGTTTGATAGAATTTACTCCCTAGAAAAAATGATTACTAAGATTGCAGCCATAGGCTTTGTAGACAGCACCAGCTTAAAATACAGCTAATTTGTCCCCCCTCCCCCAATTTAGATTGAAGCTGGTTTGGCAAGAAACACATCAAAACATGGTATTTAATAAGAAACAGGATAGATACAGGATAGATATCAATTGTAGCTAATGTGTGTACACAACTTCCCCAGTCAGTGATGGAAGCGAACTGGATGCAGAGTAAACAGGCGCATGCAGCCTTCATTTTTGTACTTTTAAAATCATTCCTCCTACATCCTGACCCACATAGTGGCAATCTTCTTCTTTCATCGTCCCAGTCCTTACTTAGGAGATCATCTAATATTCCAAGCTTCTTTCTGTGTCTAATGCTGTTTCAGAACTTCCTGGTTGTGTCTGGGGAATTACACTCCCCAAAGGCCTTACTTCCCCTATAGCTGCAGCCTTGGATTCAAGCAGAAATCAAGCATCTCTCTTTGGGTTCCAGCTCCTAGCTTCTAGCTCACATCACTCAACTCTCCACTCTCAACTCTGCCTTTGTCCTTCTAACCACCCACGAGTTGAGGGAGGGCCCCCCGCTCATTTGCCATCTTGCACTGAACCCTTTCCCTTGTTCCCGTTAATGCCCCAATACCCAGGAAGCTTGCCTGGCTATTCCAAGAATGAGAAGGGAGCCCAGGCAGTCAGTCAAACCACCCCACTTAACAAACTCATAACCCTAGGTAATTGGAATGCTTGCCCATGCTTTTCTATTTTGTTTGCTTTAGGATAATAATAATAATAATAATAATAATAATAATACACCATCAATATACGGTACTTAGTTCCTAAAAGAGTTGCATCAATAAAAGACAATCCCCTGCCCTGAGGAGTTTACAATCAGCAGTAGCATTTATATAAATAGCCATGCCTGCATTTTGGGGGGGCTTCCATCTGGGGTAGCAACAGAAGTATAACCACCTATCCAATTTCACTACTCTTCTTCTCCCTTGCAAACATTCTGCATGCCCTTCTGCTATCATAGCCTGGCTTAGCATTTAGTCTTCTGACGGTATAAAGGGCAGATTCTCCTTCAGATTTTCAGACATTGTAGCTTGATAGAATGCCAAAGAGTTGCTTTTAAACTGTCTTGCATTTAGAACAATCATTAAATGTGTATTTTGAATATAGGAGACAGTGCACAAATGTTCCCTATTCTGTTTTTGAGTACACTGGGGGTGGAGAGGGATGGGACATTTGCTGTCCTCTTCGGGAAAGGAGGGAGAGTTGTTAAATAAAGGCCTCCGTGAGTAAGCTCTGGTGGCCCTGTAGCTTGCTCTTCTTTAACAGACGGGGAAGGCAGCCACTTTGCCAGCAGATGCCCATGAGCGGAAACACTGGAGCACAAAATTAACACCCTGGCTCATCAGGAAATGTTAATGCGGGTAAGATGAGGGAATTGCTTCATATTATAGGCAAACAAGCTGTGCAAAGCGGATAAGCAGAAGAGGAACTTGGTTTGAAGGCTGGGCAGTTTTTCCCAGAGATCTCTCCTCCTCCCACCCTTCAGCCTGATGGATAAGGCTGGAAAGGAAATAAAAAGCATCTGACCCTGCCATTAAAAAACAGAGAACAACAACAACAAAAATCCTATGCAAAGCATCATTGCAAGCTGAGAGCAGCACTTGCTATTTCTGTAGAAGCTAGCTGCTTAAAGGTAAGAAAGCAGAAGCAATCTGGAAGCAGCTTCGATGCTTTCCAAACATACTTATTCCAGGGGTGGAAAAGCAGTTTTGCAAGTTTACCCAGAAGATGGATGTAAAGGACACCGATTGGCTGCCCTCCATAGTCTTCCCACAAATTCCTGGAACAGTGTGTCTCACTACTTCTTCTTTTAAACGGTTTCCTTTCTTTTAATGAGCAAGGCAACAATGGATACATGTCTATGGGGTGCTTAGGCATATATATTTTAATCAATCAACCTTCCTGAAGCATAGAGGGAGTGGGAAAACTAAGCCAGTGTTTGATTTGCTGTAGGCACTTCCATCACTTCACTTGCAAAGCCTGGCTTATTCTGCAGCTAGGATGTATGCTGGGAGCTCCCCTGCCTTTCCCTACTGAATCTACCTTCACCCTTGAAGTATACAGCTGCATACACACAGTTTGCAGCATAAAAATGTAGTTTTTCTCAGTCTGGAACCATTCACGCTCATCCTCCACATGCTGCTTTCAATCTAGATTCTTGATCCTGCCACCCACAAAGATGGGTGTGGTTACTTGATACACATTTGAAAACCTTACCTTTCATTAGGTTATCCATGCCTGTTTCTCCCTGCATATACCTCTAGTAAACAAAGAAAGAAGTGGTGATTTTGATCTTGTTATGACCCACAGTATCATTGGGCAGGTGTGGACGCCCCCCTCCCAATTGTTTGGACCACCTACATCTGTTTTCAAATTGGCCCACCGTGCGATAATTCAGACTCAATCTGCAATGAGCTTTTATTTTTGAAATGAAAACAGTTTCAGAGGAAGCACTTATGAGGGGCAAAAAAAGATACAATAGATCTAGACTGTGTGTGTACTATGTAGAGAAAGCAAGTACACAGTTCCCACTGAGTCTAGAATAAAATCTGTGTACACAGCCTCCATTATGTCCACTGTTATCCCTTCATGGTGCCAGCTTTCGTTGAGATGCATGAAGTAACTTACTCCTGCTGATCTACAGCACACTCTTTATAACATAATGCTTATCAAAGTTCTCGTTTTTACCTGCCTACTTGCCAGCAAAACTGTGTGAATGTTTATAAGTAGTGTAGAAGTTACAGTGAAATTCGCTCCTAAGGAAAACTTTTCCAAAAAGCTATGGAGAAATTGTTTTTGAAATGTGGAGCTTTGATAAGGGGGGGGGGAGAGATCTTTGTCTCTCTACATTCATTCTTCCTTCCCTCCTTTTTCTGTAAAAGTCTTCATGAGCGCAACTCTATTAAAATGGATTCTAAATACATGAGGAAACATTTTTCAGTTTGAGGACAATGTACATTTTGCCTTTGTCTAGTAGGCTGGCTTACACACACACACACACACACACACACACACACCCCTCTATCTTCCATCCAGGCAAGCTAGAGTTATTATCAGAGTTCCAGGACAATTTCCAGTCCATAAAAACTCTCAAGGGGTGTGTGAAGCAAGGCCAGTGAGGGATGTGAGAAGAAGAAGGTGGGAAAGGGGTGTAGCTTTGGGAGATGTCCCAAGGGCTACATAGTGATGCTGGGAGGGCCACATTTGGCCCCTGGGTTTACTGTATTTATTTTTCCTGATCTGAAGTTTCCAACCCAATAAGAGTAACCTAGCTAAATAAATAACCTGTTGAGAACAAGGATAAGTGATGAATCATAGCCACAGAATCATAGACTTGTAGAGTTGGAAGGGACCCTGAGGATCATTCTAGTCCAACCCCCTGCAATGCAGGAATATGCGGCTGTCCCATACGGGGATCAAACTTGCAACACTGAACTTATCAACACCAACTGAGACAGGCATAGTCCAAAATAGGAGTGGGCAAACTGTGACCCAAGACATATGGATGGCAAGGAGGGTAGCAGAAAGAGGAAGGTGTGGGGGGGGAGGGGGATGATGGATGTGGCAGAATGAGGAAGAAAAAGGATTGCCCCCCCCCCCCCAGTGTCTGTACTGTTCCATGACAGATACTCCCAAAGGAATATGTCCCTTGATAGGGGAAAAAAGGTTGTCTAAAAGGTACCCACTATGTGCAAACACTCAGTCAATAGTAGTGCTGATAGTAGATTGCGTATGTAGAACAGGTTTCACTGACAATCAGCTTTTATGGCTTGGTTGCTGGTAAAATTGTATGCAATCCATCCAGAGTTAAGCACTTTTAAATCCTACTAAATGGGATCTCTTACATCAAAATGAGTGGGGTTTAAAATTGCTTGAGGATGTCTGGACCTTATCTACGGTGTTCTTCCGGCAATGTGAGCTCAATCCTACCTGAAAATAGAGTCTGGAAGTGTCCGGTATATCCAGGGACTAAAGGATGGCAAGGATGGAACCTTTATTTTTGAAAAAAACCCATTATGTCTCTAAACAGCATTTCAGGCATTAACAAACAAACAAAATAAGCGGCCCCAGCATGGCCTGAGCTGTCTGCCACACAATGGCGTAAAACAAGCATGAAGTCCTGGATTAAAAAAAAAAAAAAATGTAGAGCGGCCTTCATCCAGGCAGGCTAACACCCGCAAACGTTTGCCCTTTAAAATAAATAAATAAGTATTTAAATAAATATGCACTCATTATTCGAACTCATCTCCCTCCATAATAGCCTCTTTAAAACCTAAGCGTAATCTTCTAATGAACTAATTTCCACTACAAACACAGGCTTCTCTTTTATCTGCTAGCTTCTCCAGAACGTCAGGCACATGCTCCTTTTCCCAGGGCGCCTGCCCCCTCCTTTCAGGCTCCCCTCCTAACCACTTACACTTCCTAACAGATTACTGGGAGCCTAGTTGACTGGAAAAAAAACCAGACCCTGATCTAACGCAGTACATGTAAAGGTGTCTGAGGCAGAGGCAACCCCTGCTGCCGTTACCCCAATGGCTTTGGCATTTTGAAAAGGCTATTGGGAGAGCCGGCGTCGTTTCTCCATTATTATTCTAGTTAGCCCCTGCAGGACAAAAGCATTATTTGCTGGGAATAGAGCAGGAAGCTGCCTTGTGCTGAGGAGGCTTATTGATCCATCTGGTCCAGTACTGTCTGTCTGATTGGCAGCATCTCGCCAACAATTCTCCAAAGTGCTTCTTCCCCTGTCTTGCGAACCAACATGCTTGTTTACCTAGAGTGCCTGGGGACTGAACCTGGGGCAACATTCCTCAGATGAAAATGAGGACACCCTATTCTACATCAGTGTGCCCACCTCCTTCCGTGCCCCCTGTATATGCACACTGCTGACGGAATAAAGGAAAAGGGTGGGACTGGCTGAGCCAATGGCTGTTACCAAGAGGACTATGTAACAATACCATCCCGGCAACTGCCTTGGTTAAATGTGGGAGACTTAGATGACACATGGTAAAACTGTGAGGTTTCCATCAGCCCACCCTGGGCATCAGAGGAAGCATCCACGCAGGATGTTTACAAGGTGGCACTTCCTTGTCTCCACCAACCTAGTCTCTGTGGTCAGAGCTATGGCCGCCAAAGGGCCCCTATGCACTTGCGCGAGCCGGGCCCTCTTAGGTCGCTCATGTCGCCACCATTGCCATAGTTGGATGTGTTAAGTGGTACTGGCCAGTGGAGCTGAAGAGCACAGCTCCATCAGCTGGCACCCCTCCCCACAGGTCCCGCTGCACCACTGTGAGAGGCTGGGCTTCCTTCTTCTGCTCCCACCCTTCCCCGCTTACAGAATTCGGGACTCTGCATGACATAGTGAGAAGCTGCGGTGGCTTAAGGGTTTTTGTGACGGCCCCAGCATTTCCCTGGCAATTGGCGACTATGACACGCCCATGTCTCAGTGCTATGGTACAAAGGCTGCAATACGATGTGCGCATAGAAATGTTGCGAACTTGTAGGTCTTCTCTTTGCTCTCCTACAAGGAGTGGGACGCTGCACAGGCAGGATGTGTTGGCCTTCGGAGAAGGGACCGTCTTGACTGTGAGTCCCAGCCTTGCAGGCCTTTTTCCACCCGGAAGAACAGGGCCCTGACTGACTCCAGCTATAAAAGCTGGGAGGGGGTGTTTTTGGGGGGGTTGCTGTTTCTGTTCGTTTTTGCTGTTATTGATAGCAACTTTTTGTATCTTTACTTTTAGATATTATTATGATGTATGCAGAGATTGTTCAATCTGGTTATGTACTGTTTGTTGTGTTTTGTTTATTACTACTTATGTTACGTTTGTAATTTTGTAAGTATTTTCATGTTGTAAGCTGCCTTGAGCATGGTTTTGACTATGGAAACGTAGCCTACAAATAAAAAGAATGAACAAACAGTGTGTCTCTCAGTGTGTGGAGCCCTGTTGTGCCCAGTGAACATAGGCTCAGTGCTTTTTTCTGGGGGTACACAGGGGTACACATGCGCCTAAACATGTTGTGAATCTTTGTATTTTCGTCTATTTACTGTATTTATTTTTCCCAATTTGAACTATAAAATGGTGATTTTCTTGAGTCAAAATGAGAGTACCCCTAAACATTTTCTTAGGAAAAAAAAGCACTGCATAGGGTTATACCAGACCGGCAGCCATTCCAGTCCTATATTAGGATGAGTTAACACCAGTACCCCTACTGAAATCCTCCACGTTTTGTTGATACCTCCCCCCCCCCCCCAAAAAAAGCATTCCTTCTTTGACATTGCTTTGAAAAAGTACAGGAACCCTGTGCTTCCTTGCATCTGGCTACTTTAAGCAAAACACCAACGAAAAAGAGCAAAGAGCTCTCTGTAAACCTACTGCCAGGAGCCACACGCCTTCTCAGTTGCTATAGCAACCTGACTGACTGGCCAGATCCCAGAAATAGGGCAGCTATGAAAGACAGAAGTAACAGCTCTGGGTTCTTACCACCCTGATGGGCACGTGCTCTTTTGGCACTTGATAACTTTGTTCTTTGCACTATCCGTTAATTGTGCAATAACTAGGCATTTCTTTATTGTGTACCTGTCCTCTCTCCCCCCGCTTCCTATGTTCCTTTGGTGTGGATACCACATGTTCTGTGTGCTCAGGGCACAATATTTGGATGGGGCCAAGCTGCTGCTTGACACCTGATGATGGAAAGTCATATCTGTGATTTTATTTATTTACTAAATTATTTACTAAATTATTTTAGACCACTTTTCAGGGTAAAGTACCTTCACAGGTATATACTGGCCTTAAGTCATTATTTCTAAATGCCCTTTTCAATTCCAGGTCAGCACAATGCCCCAAATGATCCAGAACAGTGAGAATCCTGCAAAGAAGAATTACATGAACAATGCAGACAAATTTGAAGTCCCATCAATGAAGCACGGTCATAGCTGTGTACAATTGAGGGCAAACAGATAGTCCTTTGGCTTCCTTAGGGTTTCATGGAGTATAAAATTGCCTGGGACTATAGGGAATGAAAGCTCTTGATTGCACCATATGGCCTCTTGCTGGCCCCTGCAATATTCCTATTCTCTTTGTTCATCTGCAAGATATTAACATTACATCCCTTCGACACACCATTAAATGGAGTCACACACACAGCAGAATGTAATTTTATGGCCAGATCCTGCTCTTAGGAGCGATGACGACCAAACTAGCTAATCAAATCAGCGCAAATTTGCAAACACCATCTCAGCAGCTGTGACTGTAAATATCAGCGGCAGAATGTGAATAATCCTGTCCGCAGGATGACTTGAGTAATGGGTTCCCAATGGGCGTTCCAGCCATCAGTTTGCTGCCTGGCAACCCAAGGGGGACTCTGATTTTGATGAGCCTGAAACAGCAGATGCCGTTATCATGATGTAGCAGCTATAGCTGGCTTCCCAGAAAAAATAAACTTATTTAGACAAATGGAAGGGGAGATGGAATGCATTGCGTCCTGCCTTTTGTGACTGTTGATGTGCGCTTCTTTAGTGGGCCTACATATGTGGGAAGTCTGTCTGTTTGTCTCTCTCTCTCTCTTTCTCTATAGCGTTCCCTTTGGCATTTTCAGAGCAGCTGCAGCAGACTGCAGTTTTGGGTAATCTTTCAAACAGCAAACCATCTGCATCTTTTGAACAGTGGGGGCTGGGAAGGCATAGATTTGCAAGCAACATATATGTTCCAGAGTTTTGGTACAATTCTGTATTTATGCCAGTTTCTGCAGGTGTAAACTAAAGCTTCCAGCAGCCCAGAGGTTATGGACATATCCAGGGATGGCTCAGTCCATTTTGCTGCCTACGGAGAAAGACACGATGATGCCCCCTCTCAATTCACAGCAGATCCTATTGGGTGAGATTTACCTCGTAAGCTGCACCATTGGAGGCCCATCAGAAGGACTTCTGCTTGCACAAAAGGACCCCCCCTTCTCCTTCCCACAAAATTGGCTCAGTGGGGGCAACAGAACCCACCCACCCCCAGAACACCACATGTACCCAGACCACCACATGTACATTTCCAAGTACAATTCAAAATGTTGATGCTGACCTATAAAGCCCTAAATGGCTTAGGCCCTGTATACTTGATGGAGTGTCTCCACCACCACCATTCAGCCCAGACACTGAGTTCTAGCTCAGAGGGACTTCCGGCAGTTCCTTTACAGCAAGAACTGAAGTTGCAGGGACCCAGGCAGATGGCCTTCTCAGTAGTGGCATCCACCCTGTGGAACGTCCTCCCATCCGATATCAAGGAGATAAATAACTATACAACTTCTAGAAGACATCTGAAGGCAGCCCTGTAGAGGGAAGTTTTTAAGGTTTGAGATGTTTTATTATGCTTTTATATTTGTTGGAAGCGGCCCAGAGTGGCTGGGGAGACCCAGTCAGATGGGCGAGGTACAAATAATATTTTTTATAACTATTAATGGGGGGGTGGATTTTTCTGTTTGGCAAGCTAAAATGCTTGCACAGACGAAATTTTAGCCATAGTGTAATGCTAATTACACCCATAGTGGTACCTGGGGTTTTTCCTAGGTAAGTGGGGTATCCTGTTGCAGCCTAATTCATATGGGCTGCAACTCTAGACAGGCCATTTTACATTTGTTGAACTTATTTAGGTTTACCATGGTTGTTGATGGGCTTCACCTTCTATGTGTTTGTCTAAGCCAGTGTGGCAGATGATATATGTATATTCATCAGATTGGTGAGCAGGTGTTTCTGTTTTGCTTTTGGTACATTTCATAAAGCTGGTTGCCAGGAGATAACGGGGGATAAGTAAAATGGAAACTAGTTGAGGGTGAGGCAGTTCTGAGCAGTCTTGACAACTGATACCAGAGGGATCAGGATATGGGGACAGTTGGGGCAGTTAGGCCCAACTGTAGTGATTGTAGTAATTTAGAGACATGTCCTTAAAAGAAACACTGGGATGGGTGTTTTAGAGATTATCCCTGGAAGACAGTGTGCGGAAGTGGCGCCTGACTGGCTGAAAGAGGTCCAGCAGAAACTTCTTGGTGTAGCTGCTAATTAATTAAAGACACAATGTTAAGCCTTGTCTCAAGATATAGAACCCAAACATATTACATTTATCCTTTGCGTTGTGGCGATGACTCCCCTAAGTATATTTTTGACTGTGGAATTGTGCCTACCAGTTGTTCACACCATTGGGTGATATTTTTGTTCTTGAACTTTTTTTAAAAAAACAACTGAATATTTTGCTGTTCATTTTATCGAACAACAACACACTTCTATGGCTATTTAGAGGACTCTGTTCATAATGAATCCTTGCAACTCCTTTGTTCAACTTGTCATTCATTTTTTAAAGAAGGCTCAGTGAGAATTCCTGTGTCTGCTCCCAGAGGTGAAACATTAAACGGGTAAATATAAACAAGGTAAAACCTAAAACACGTTCCCATCCTCCTACAAAGGGTCATGGGAAAAATGTGATGTCATCACAGGAAGTTCCTGTTAACATCCCATAATGGTATATGGGAAGCTGACAAGTACATGATAAATGACATATATATTTTCACACACTGAAGATTAACAACCCTTTTTCTCCCAGGACATCAGACTAATGTGGGGGAGAGATCTCCTCCAAATTTCCCAGCTCCTGAAGCCAAGGGGAGGAGAGGAGGCATATCAATTACACATGTGGGTAATGTGGGCATGCTTATTTGCTGGGCGAGTCACTGTCATTGAGCAGAGATGTAGCCTTGGTTACATCCTGTTCGGATTAATGTAACACACTCTAATTGGGGCTTTCTTTGAAAGGTACTCAGAAACTTCCAACTGGCTTCAAGAACTGCAGCCACATTGTTGACTGGGGCTGGATATAGGAATCATATTGTTGGCAGGGTAGCTAAATTGCAGCTAGAAAGCCATCAACACAATGTGCAGTTTTGATGCTTTTCTTGAAATTAAAACAATGTCCGAATACTTCTTAAAATATTCAGAAGCTTTTACTTGCAGAGTCTATAGCTAAAGAAGAATACCGGTATACGCAAAGTACTTATATGCACAGGTTCATCAGTTACCCACTCTCTTAGCAATCCCGCTCCTGATTAGAATTCTAATAAGTATAACAAATCCATCTCCTCACCCCTTGTTACTGGTTTGGGAGTCTTCTTTACCTAGAAGAACTCTCCCCTCCTGGCTAGAAGGAGACCTGGAGCATCTGTATTCCTGCCTGTATACCTTCCCCACACAGTCAACCTGCTCTTCCTGTCTAAGCTGTGAGGCTCTTTCCTCATGCTTTAGATAGTCTCCTCAGGGTAGATGTTCCACTCAAATCAGAACCCGTTCTCCCACAGTCAAATCCTATCCTAATCCCTATCTCCCACCTCAAATCAAGCCCTATCTAACTCTCTCCCTCAGAAACTGCCCCTTTTATTCTCCCTCCCAAAGTGCTGCTCCACCCTGCTATGGCTTGCTGTCTTGGGAGCCAATCAGAGAGAGGCTCATCACTCAGGTGGAATTTCTGAGGGACTGCATCACCGGACTCTGGTCTGGGCCTTCTGTACATCCCAACTCCCTTGCTGGCTACCAGTCTGTTTCCAGGCACAATTAAAGTGCTGGTTATCACCTATAAAGCCCTACATGGCTTAAATCTGGAAGACCACATTCCCTCATACAAACCTGCCCTGGTTTTGAGATATTCAGGGAAAGCTCTTCACTCAGTCCCTCCACCCACACAAGCACACTTGGTGGGAACATGGGAGATAGTGTATGCTTCAGCAGAAGGCGGTCTGCTCACCACAACATGACTTTCCCCCCTCTTCCACTGTTCTTCCTCTAAATTGTTTCCCCTCAACGCTCCAGAATTGATTTAGGGGGCACATGGGGAGGAGGGGGGAAGTTCTATTACATGAGTGGATCTTGATCTGCTTGTGCAGCAGTTTAGCTGAATCCCACCATTGGTGTTTTTTAAAAAACAAACGAACAAACTTGAAGTATAGGTGGCAAAGCTAGGTGGCTATTAAAGAGGGTTTCATTGTGCATTCATCTCTGTGTGGCTCCTCACTTGAAACATAAATGATATTCACCAGACTGCAGTGGGGGGAAATAGGAAAGGCAGGGTCTCAATCAATCTTGCTAAGAAACCAGCCCATCATAACAAAGTACAGGATACATAGGCATTTTGGATAAAAACCTAGTACTGGAAACATAGTGTGTGCACAGTAAACAGGAGTGTGAACACAGCCTTAGGCTGCTTTTGGGTTAGATGTTGAGCCATGACGCTTCCACAGTTTGGGAGCTGGCAAGTAGGCAGGCCTTGAGGGTTCATCAAAAGTCAAACTGAGATCTTGGCTCAAACATCTGAAGATGATAATATGAGAAAGAATCACTGAGAAGACGAGAGACTGGGACGCAGCATCAAAATTCAAACTGGTATCTCTTGATCCAAATGTCTGCAAATCTTAAGGAAACATTGGATCCAAAGTACCCATGCAGAGATAACAGAATAACCCCTTCTGAGCTGCTGCCTCGTACCTTTTAACTAATCAACAGAGATCAGGATTTTTACAGAGCAGGGTGTAACTCTGAAAGTGGAACAAGATCACCTCACAATAATTGATTCAAATATTGCAGCAGCTGATGCATACCTAGCAGTCACCACCTCTACCACAACAAACATCAAGTCAAACCCTTTCCTCCCTGGCCACCAATGATTACCCTACCGATGACGAACCACCCAGAAGGGAGAACTTTAATGCTCTTTAATCTCAGTCAAATGCCTACCACCTCATCAAAAAGGACAGGAATGAATCCTAAGTCATTAGCCCTGGGCATAGGCCATAAGTGGGTAGGTAAGACATCTCCAGGTGCTGTGAGGCCATGTGAGGGAGCCACTATGCCATAAATGTAAAATGTTGCCATGGGCTTGGAAGGAAGCAGCTCCCTTTAGTTTGATGCTAAAGTATGCAGTCATCTAGACTTCATAAACTGGTCATTGGTGGGTTAATCCATTGACCATGGAAATTGTTTACAGAACAGTACACAGAATCAGATAAGTAACGACTGATAGCCTTGAACCTTCCCTCCCCAGAGTGAGACTATGGGGGCAAGCTCTGTACAGCTAAATATGAGGAGAAGCAGCAGATTTAACCAAGATTTCAGATAATGGAGGGGGGGGGCACATTTCAGCATAATCTGTCTTCCAGGCATGTGACAAAGTGATTCCCATTTTAGGTCATGCTGGGTATAGTAAATAAGAGCATCCCAATGTCATTTCAAGCAATGACAAGGACATTTCAAGTGAACTTTTACATCAGTGCTATGGATGGAGCCTGCGAAGTGCATAAAGAAAACCCAGTAAAACGGGCTTGCTTTGGAAATGGGCTTGCTTTGGATGAAAGAGACTGACAGTCAAACCCTACACAGCCGCAATGCTCATTTTAGAACCTCATATGCTTAGCAGCCAGATCCAAGTGCATAGCTTTCTTT